TAAGTTTGCCTGTCCGGAATTAACATTGTAGATATCAACAACGTCTTTCTGTCTAGTCGTTACACTTTGGATAGTTTGTATTATCATTTAAGATATCTGTAACATAATTGTGACTAGTCGAAATGACAGAGTATGGCAAGCCGCTTTAACATTTAATCATGAAAGGGCCAAAGCCTTCGGCACCGCCACCCGGGTGCCTTTAGGTAACTAAAGGAACCGGGGTTGCGGTGCCTCCGGCTTGGGCCCGCCATCGCTGCTCGCAGCTATATTTATATTTATATTTCTGTGACACATACACTCATGCAGCAGATGGAAAACATTATACATTATAAGAGTTCTGGAAGAGTTTTTGTGGCCAGAGTTTGAAATCCAAATCAAATTTGACCTAATACATGTCAGATGCTGGTGTGTGTGATGTGCAGAACAATCCTGAAGCATATTTTTAGTGCCATAAATGATTTTGCTTCGCGATGTTATTTTAATGACAGCACATCTGTCATCTGACCATTTGTCATGAGAAATATGCTGTCTCTATGCAAACATCTCAGTGGTCCTGGACGGAAGACTTTGGGATATTTTAGGGTTCAATGAAAGTTTAATCAACAATATGTATGGTGTAATTATGATTGGTTTGTTAATGATGTGAATAATGATTATATGCAATCAGACATTCTTTAGTTTTTGAGAGTTTCCCATGGAAACATAATATGTTCTGCACCAAAAGTGTCCATTCAAACAGAGATTTTAGAGCCAACTTCCAAATATATGTTTATATATGAAGAGTTCAGATGCAAAAGCCTCTAAATGCCATTTGAAATTTTCTTCTTTAATGATGATTTTTGTCAAGCTTGTATATTTAAGTTCAGTAATTTCACTTAAATGACAATGGTAATTACCTATTAATTGTTATTTAAGTGAAATTACTGAACTTGAATATACAAGTTTGACAAAAATCATCATTAAAGAAGAAAATTTCAAATGGCATTTAGAGGCTTTTGCATCTGAACTCTTCATATATATATATATATATATATATATATATATATATATATATTCTTTGACAATGAAGTTGCGTGATTGTGTGTTTTGTGTCAGGAGTGTATTCCGGGTTTCAGAGACCCGGCTGAAGCTAGTCCTGACTAGATGTGTGTTTGACTAGATGAACTCGTGATCTGAGGAAATACTTACATGGAAATAATGATCAATAATGCCATTTCCATTCAAAATATAAAGCAATTAAAATACTGTTTAGCCAGTGGAAAAGATTGAGAAAAACTTTCTGAAATGTATTTCATACTATTTGACTTATTTATCCAAAATCAAGGCATGATTTTTAGCAATGTAATAATGTGACGCACATCCATATCTAATATTCTCCTAATGTCTCGTACCGTTAAACATGGATCACGTGGATGAATATGAATATGTAAATGATATGCAGATGAGGATATAGTAAACGAGGCGTTGTCAGCTCATATATGTTATTTCGAGGTGGAGACGCATGTGAACAATCTTCCTCTGGCTGGGTTTATAAAGGGGATTCTGGCGTACGCCATTTTTGTCTTTCGGGCGCACACACACACTTATGGTGAGGATCACACACACAGTTTCAGAAATGAGAGCCCCGGTGAAGAGGCTCAACGACCTCCATGATGAAACACTTCAAGAGTTGCTTGTTATTTTCTGAAGAAAGTCTGATGAAGTTTCAGCTGAAGGTGTGAACAGGAGCACTCACTACACACACACACACACACACACACACACACTCCAGGAACTATAAAAAGCTCTGTTTATTCTGACTGCACGGATATTTCGGTCTCTCCGCTCCTGGCCTTGTCCCTCGGGGAATGAAGTATTTTCTTGCCCATCTTTGGCATTGGCTGGAGTTTGTTTTGGGCTTGAAATGTTATATTTCAGAATGGTTTGGGTATTTTTAGAGTGTATAATTTGTGCAGAATGTGCCCGTGGGTAAGAGCTGACCGCAGCGATGGGTCTCTCGCTCCGCCAGCTGCTTCATGTCTGCTCTTTTCCAGAAGTGGAGTTTAGTTCTTCAAGATAGTGGTTTCTAATCTAGCTCATCTTAAGTGATGCTTAACCTTGTACATAATGAAAACCCACTTCCTATTTCTCATTTTTTCTGCTTTCTGCTTTAAATAAAGTACTTAATTACAGTATTTAAAGTTGGCATGAAATGTAAGTTGTGCTCATCTCTTCCCTATTGTGTCGTATATCGAGTGAAGCGCTTCTGGAACAGGAGCACATGTGGGCGGGGCTTGATTGGGTCTGTGTGGAGCTGATTGGCTGGTTGTGGTTTGCTATTGGCTGATCTCATGTGAATGACAGGTTGCCCCGCCCCCGTCATCAGAGGAGAGAAGAGATGCTGTAAGAGGAAGTGATTCCTCTTATATATATCTTATATATATATATATGTAGTCTAGATTATTAACACAGTGATGTTGTGTACCAATAAATAATATACAATAAACTCTGCAATATTCCTTAAAATAAGAATTGGCCTTTTTGATTTCATGGTGAGTTAGGCATTTCCTTCATCTTTCCTCCATACTTTCTCATCTTTTTTTATTTAATTTTTATATTCTTTTCTTTACTGAACAATAAAGAGACTGCTCTCCTCTTTTCTCCAGGGGGTTTCAGCGATTCCTCGTGCTGCAGTTTCTCTCGGAGAATCTGAAATGTGTGTTTGTTTTTCTCAGCTGGCATCAATCAGCTCTTTTCTCTCGCTCACAAACGCTCCTTCACCGAAGCTGTATTTGGATTGGCTGTTCAGAGCTTTTTATCACTACAGCCTGATCTTTAATAGTAGATGCCTCTCTCAAACACTGCTTCATTGTGTTTAGTGCCGAGTGTGTTCGGCCACAATACGATTGACTCTACAGGTGAGGTCTGTGTGTTGGGCTGAACACAAGATTGTGTGTGTGTGTGTGTGTGTGTGTGTGTGTGTGTGTGTTGTGTGTGTGTGTGTGTGTGTGTGTGGTGTGTGTGAGAGAGAGTGTCCAAGTCGCTTTCCAGAAAATGGTTATTTCGCAAATCAAGAATCATTTTCATCCAAACCCTGCCAGCGAGCTCCTCTTTAGGTGGTCGAGAACGGATCTCAAACGATACCCGAAACCACTTGATGGTTGCTCTGTCAAGTCTTCGTCGTCAGTTAGGAGCCTGTGTGTGTGTGTGTGTGTGTGTTTGCTCTCTTTGATACCAATCTTTAATTTGAAAAAAATGTTTCTAGTATCTGTAAAACCAATTTTTTCCCATCTTTCTAAATTACGTCATATTCTCTCAATGACCGATGCGGAACAATTAGTTCATGCGTTCATGACATCAAGGCTAGGCAAATGAGCGGCCGGAGTGTGTTAAGGGTTTTCTCTTAGAACGGTGTCGTGTTAGCGGGCCTTAACAATCTTTGCAGCGGAAGTGAATTAATAAAAACTAACTTTAGCTGGACAATAACTTTATTCTAAAGCTGCTGTAAAGCCAAACAATCTCTGTTACTTTAATTTCTTATTATCACTGTAAATCTGCCTTGAAACAATCAAGTCAAATGAAGGTGACTTGACTAAATTATATAGACGACTGGCTGATTCTGGCTCAGTCGCAGGAGTTGGCATGTCGTCCATGGCCACATCCAGAGCTTGGAGTTGAAATTCAACCCAAAGAAGAGTGTGTTGGTACCCGACCAGAGAACTTTGTTTTTTTGGGGGTGGTGTGGAACTCGATCACGATGTGGGTACGAATGTCTTCTGCATGTGTCGTGTCCATCTTGGCCACGGTGACCAGGATATAGCTAGGCCAAGCCATCACTGTGCTCAAGGCATCCAATGGGATTCCATCCAGCCTGATGCACATGAGAGCCTTACAGAGGGGCTTTTCCCCAATGGGGAACCCTTTCCGTATGATCAGGGTTACGCGTCCCAAGGTCCTGTGCTGGGAGCCATGTCATGTCAACGGAAAGCCGTTTCGAGAGGACTGTGGCAGGACCATCATTCTGGAAATGCTAGCGGTCTTCCGAGCTCTGAGGAGTTTCCTGCCAGACCTCAAGGGTCACCACGTTATTGTGAGTACAGACAAGATGTTGGTGGTGTCCTATCTAAGTCATCAGGGCGGTATAAGATCACGCCCCTTTATTCAGACTGGCGCATCAGATCCTCCTGTGGTCCCAGGGGAGACTATAGTCTCTCAGAGCAACATACATCCCAGGCGACCAGAATCAGGGAGCAGAGGTCCTGTTGAGGCAGGGGCTGTGGCCCAAGGAATGGAAACTTCACCACGATGTCCACTCACTGTCCACTGGTTTTCTCTCATACGTCCAGCCCTGCTAGTGTTGGATGCCATGGTGCAGGCGTGACCAAGGCTATGTCTGTACGCATTTCCCCTGATCGCTCTGCTCCGGGAGTTCTGGAGAGAGTCCTGTCGCAATGGGGTCAGTCTACTCCTGGTTGCCCAGTTGTGGCCGACCCGAGTATGGTTCTCAGACGTAATATCGCTCCTGGATGGCCCTCCGTGGGAGATCCCCATCAGGAGGGACCTGCTTTCACAGGCGTAAGGCTCAATATTCCCCCCTCGGTCAGAGCTGTGGAAACTGTGGGCCTGGCACCTGAGTGGGCACAGCACCGAGAGGCTGGCCTGTCAGCAGGAGTAGTCAAGACCATACCTATAGATGTTACAGTCTTCCTTCAACGCCAGGTGCACGAGTGCTCTCGTCCTGAGTGTGCCAGCCTCACAGGCTGAAAGATAGACGGGGTTCATTGTGGCATAGTGGGTATTCGTTAACCAAAGTGTCTCGTTCCCTTCACATGGAACAAGGGTTACAGTCGTAACCAGAGATGTTTACTTTTTTCCTTTTTCTCTTCTGTTTATATTCACTCGTTTTAGCTCTTTCAGTAGCCTCATTTTCACTATCATTACTACTAAATAGTGCTAAGTACTATTAAAATAATGATAATCTAATGGAAGAGATTGATAAGAATTGTTTGTGTGTGTTTCAGGTTCTAGCACTAGCAGAAGCCGCAGAAGACACCCGGGAGCGTTTAAACCAGGCGTTTGTGCGTTTGAGGAGCGCGACTCACCTGCTCATCCTGTTGCTGTCTCTGTGGCAGAGACTGAACTCAGAGCAGAGCGACATCCTGGAGGCCACACTACTGCCCCTGCTGACCGACACACCACAACTGGTGAGAGAACACACACACACACACACACACTAGAGGTCTGCACAGGCTTTAAACTGAAGCCCGAAATCAGCCCGTACCCGAAATCATTGAACCCGACATTTAACCAGATATTACGGTTCTATTTTAAGCCCGAACCCGAGGTCCGTTTCTCACAGTAAATCCTTTTTTTTTATTTTTTTATTTTTTTATGTTTTATGATTATGCAACACCAAGTTTCACCAAGGCACCATGGCCAGTGAGCACACAAGAAAAAAAAAGACTTTACGAAACCTTGCTGTGGTTGAACAGGTGTAGCCTAATAGTCACCAATTCCTCTGGAATTCAAACATTTAACTTCAAAACAAATGAACGGCAGGGAGCTCTCTCGGTTGCAGCATCCCATTGTACTTTATCTGGCTGGCCCTTCTTGGTCAGGACTGTAAGGGGGCAAGCCAGAGAAAATAATCTTGGAATAAAACATCTATAATACCCGGCCAACCCAGGAAAGCACGTTCCTGTTTCTTTGTAGAGGGCCGGGGATTCTCCCTGATGGCCTTTAGTTTTCCCACTTGCGGTTCAATAATTCCCCTTCCAATTCGATAACGCAGGTATCGTGCCTGCGAAAGCCCCAGATTATATTTTTGAGGGTAAACCATTAGTCCAGCCCAACGTAGCCCAGCTAGCACCTCCCTCAGTCGAAGTAAATGTCCCTCCCGGCTCTCAGAGTGGTAGGCGGCTGCATAGGCCTGGTGTCATCGAAGCACTCGGTCCATCAGCCTTTGGAAGGTCGCTGGTGCCCCATGCAGGCCGAAAGCTACGACCCAGGAATGCCAGTGCCCTGGCGGAGTATTGAAGGCGGTCTTCTCTTTTGTCGAAGTGGAGAGGGTTACTTGCCAGTAACCTATTGCCAAGTCCATCGTGGAGATATACCGGGGCCTACCAAGGCGTTCAATGAGTTCATCCACCAGGGTCATGGGGTAGCTGTCAAACTCCGACACTTCATTAAGCTTTCGAAAGTCATTGCAGAAGCAGAGGGTGTCGTCAGGGGACTAGCACAACCCGGCTGGACCACGGGCTGGAGGAAGGCTTATTGACTCCTAAGTGGATCATTATTTCCACTTCCTCAATGGCTTGCCGCCGATATTGGAATCTGGTAGGGCCGCTGCCGAACTGTGATACCATATGAGGGATGTCATGTGACAGGAGGAAGTCCGTCCTGGACAGTTGGAGAATACATTACAAAAGCTTCGAATAAGCGCTTCCAGTTCTTTCTTTTGGTGTGGGCTGTGGATTCAGGTGTAACACAGGTCAAGGCCACCGCAAGCTGTTCTGGGACCCAGGTTGACGTGGTAGATCTGCTCATCTTCCTAGGGACCTGCTCCCTGTGATCTGTTGGAAAAGATTCGAGAAAACTTCAAGATTAGGTTGAGAACCTGTCGCACAGGCTTTTTCATGACATCGTAGAAGTTGCTTCAAGTAGCGAAGCAGTCTATCCAAAGTGACCTTCTCTACGATCTCAGTCATGGTGACATAATCTTTCAACGACCATAGCTTAATGAGTGTGGGTCATTTGGGTCGCTTGCATGCGGATGGGTACCTGCGCATCATAGACAGGGGAGAGTCCTATATCTTTCTTCAGAAAATCATCATCCAGGTACTGTAGGTTGGAGTGAAGGAGAAATAAACTTGTTGGGGTTCCCCGGTTAGAAGGGGTGTTAACTTCTGAAACCATTCCGACTTTTCCCAGCTAACTTTACTTGCGACCACCTCAAATGTGTGTAAAAAAACTTCCGGGTCATCCTGCTCATCCTGGTGTAGTCTGAACGAAGATGCACCAGTTCCTCAGCCACATGATTTTGTGCCACTACATTAAACACTCCGCGAAAAGAAGGGAAATTAGCCAATTAGCTGTGTGATCCGCACTCACTTGGGCAAATCAATCACTCTCTGGGATCGCTAGATGTTCCCCATGATTAGTGTTGCCGGGGATGACGAGTGGGGAGCCAGTAATATCGCGTCACTTTTTACTGTATATATATATATATATATATTAGTTACAAACCCAAATCAACCCGAATCAGAAGCTATTCATTAAACATTTTTTAATGTTTATTGAATTTTCTGAGTTTTTCAGGACCCATCGGACTCGGGTCGGGTAGCAGACCTATACCACACACACTTGTTATTATCCTCCAAATCTTTCGGATTCTTACATTAGCTCTCTATCTGAAATGCTGGTTGATTGCTGAAAATCTTGCCATCCACCACAGCTCTCTAACTGAACTCATATTCAAGCTTTAAATGCTCAATACAAGTTTGGTAGAACATGAAGGTAAAACGATGACATAATTAACTTAATCAAATCCCTGAAGTCTGATTGTTGATTTTATCCCAGTGTGATGATCCTCAACCTCTTTATAAAACTGAGTTTAAAAGAAAGAGAGCTAAATAAAGAAACAGGCATTTTGTTGTAAAACAAATGGGATAGATTTAGAGAGAACACACACACTCCTGTCTTCAGCTGGAACCCTGACATCTCCTCACAAAGTGTCCGTCTCAGCCAGTATAATTCCTGCGGTGCTTTATCAGTTCCAGCGGCTCCAGTGATGATGATCTTCTGATACGGTAGAACTGACTCCAGTGTCGTTGTGTTCTTTCGGTTGTCAGTTCTCACATGTGCAGGCTTGTCTTGTCACTCATTGCTTTAGGAAAACTTTTGTTTCAAATGTCTCAAAAGCAGCTCATTACACTCACTATGCACTGTGTACTCTGCTGTCTAGTGCATGAACTTTGATAAGGTTTTGTCATTTATAATAGACCATCTTCTTCCTCTTCATAAGGAAAGCTGAGTGCGTGGAGAGCTTCCAATCACGAGGCTTTGTCAGAAAAAATGTGCTATTACTGTTTGTGTTTGTTTAATCTGATGGTTTGTTTAAATATTGAATATAGCTGCAAGCAGCCATTACCGGGGCCAAGCGCAAGAAGCGGCATTAGATGACATTTTAAGAGAATTTTGGGCAAATGGCTAAAAAATCATATATAAAGTAACTTTTAAGATGATTTAATGGATTATCACTTTCAACCAATAGATGGCGCAGTTATGAAATCGATGTGATGTGGTCAGAGTGTGGTCACAATGACTACGTTTACATGCAGCCAATTTTGGGGTTATGGTCGGGTTAAGGTCACTATTGGGGTTTCTGAAACATTAGGAATAACCCGTTAACATGCGTGAGCAGAGAGAGTTCTCCTGTATACATGGAATTGCAATTTCTCGATGTAAACGGCGACGCGCGGTTAGTGTCTAGATGTACGGACAACCTTAAGACGCAAAATGGGTCATTTCCGATTCTTCTTCCTGTATCCAAAGACAACAATAAAGCAGC